TTATCGCGCGAGTGTCTGATGAGGATTTCGAATAATTATCGAATAAGAATTCGGGGATTTCAATCAGCGTGCACTTCAGCTCTAATTTAATCAATCCGCTGAGATTTTTTTTTGCATCTTTCGATTTTTAGAGAAAAATTGCTCGTCAAGCATTGGTGCTGGGATTTCGAATGCGTTTTCTGCCTCTTTAAAAGTCTCCATGTGTGTTCTTTTTCGCCTGCCGCGATCTCTCCCGCGTGGGTTTCTCTTTACTTTATCGGCCGATAATAGGCGGATTACAACGATCAAATCAGTCTTTTCCCGGATGCTCCTTTGCGTATAGAGTTCGACCTATGGTAATTGCTAAATGCGTCACGCGCAGTCTCGATAGCCGTCATTGTCATCGTCATCATTATCATCATCATCGGACATTAGCTTTCAGTGAAAAGCACGATGTGACCTCCGTGTCCGGATTTCTCTTCGCCATCACACATTTCGGAGCTGGTCCAGTTCGGCGCCGAATTCAGTCGGTGGAATTCGCAAGGTTGATGACCCCTGCGAATAAAATCGTTGATTTAGGTTTGATTCTCGCGCGCGAGACACTCTCTATTCTTGAAGCTGTAAATCCGGGACGTTAACCTGAGACCTGTATTCAAATATTTCGCGCAGTGTACATCCGCATTGTCCATTTAAATGTTTACACGAAGTCTTAAGAAATATTTTTCTTCTAGTTTTAATCACATATTTTAAATCTTTAATGTGACATCAATCACAATTAAATAATTATGTAAATTATAAAATGTCTACTTTAAGATAAATAACCATTTGAGAAACGTTTTCTCTATGTTCATAAGATAGTAATTCTTCCAAGTCTCCGTACAAGTTTGCATCTACACGTTGTCCAATTCCGGATCTTCCTGATTTTTCTTGTTCAATACAAACATTAATATAATCGCGCGACGAAAATAATCAAGAAATCCACATTGCTAGTAGAAACATTAATCTATTAGATCTGCAAGTGTATTTGACTAACTGATTAATGACGCTGATTAATGATTCCCGTGACTGAGCAGCAACTCCTCGGAGGTTTAAGCTTCGCAGTTGCAACGAAGAAACTAGAGTAACTCTCCGATTCATAAATGCATTTGAGTAACTCTCCGTTCGAGAAAATGAATTCAATGACTGAAAAGATCTCGATCAACATCTCCTGGTGTTCGTAAAATTTCACTGGCTGTCCAAGAAATCTTACATCGTGCCTAGGATCCGCCAAGCCAAGGGGTTCTTGAACCCGGAGCGATATCGTGCTGTGCGACCGACGAACGGGTGAAAGTTTGCGAAGAAAGCTGCGCGATGCCTCCCCCTATCTCTCTATCTCTCCCTTTTTCTCTCCGCGGCAGCCGCATTTGGCTCATCACGAATGGCCTAGCATGCCATCGCGTTCGTTCGATTCATTTGCTCGTGAGAGAGAAGAGGCCATTGACACTCGTTCGGATTGTCAAGATCGTGTAACGACTCTCTTGCGTGACGCGTGCGTTCACCAAAGGCGCGTTTCCGTCTTTCTCTCTCTCTCTCTC